CCTTAATTATTTATTTTAATATGAATATTAAATATGAAATTTATTTTAATACTTTATATCTACACTTTTTACATAAAAATGTTGGAACCATTTATCGGATCGGTTTCCTACGTTTCGGCTGCAAGAATAATATACCTATTATTATAGGTATTAATATACCTATCTTTCATTTTTAAAAAGCTAATTATTACTGATTTTTAATTAAAAAGTATTAATAACGTATTTTTCGATTCCTGGTACTTGCAGTCTGAAAAAATTTATTTACGAATAATTAAATACAAGAATTATTTCCAACACCACTGATGATGGGTATTTGCCAATACTCGAAACAGCTTTATGGTCAGCCAAAAATTCAATTAATTAAAATAATATAAAATAAATTTTTGTTGTTGTAGTTCACTACTCCTCGAAAAAACCCCTTTAAGTATTAATAAATGAAAGTATCTTAGCCATTATTATTCTTTATCGAATAGTATATTCGATTCGTGTTTCTTTATTGATCTATCTATAATATTATACTTATTCGATATTATTATTACCTGAAGTATCCTAAGTAGAAGCAACTACAGAACACATGTAGAATACTAACAGCCTTAACCTTGCAATTGTCTGTTACCCAAGCACTATTCCTATTCCTTCTAGAGAGGCACTAAGATGAGTTTAATGATTCATGATTAATTTAAAACGGATTATTTACTTTAAAAAAACTTACAATATTTTCATCTGATTTAGATTTCGCTAATTTTATTTGTAAACTATGAGTATGCGGGTCCTGATGTGCTTCATTGGCTTTCCAATCTAATACAGACGTTAGGATTTTTAAGTCAAAGACGGCGAGGTTAATAACGTAGTTATTTTGATTAGTAAAAAAATCTTCAGTATATTGCACTATCGACACACAATATGGAGTTGTTTCAGATATTAAATTTGCTTGACGTATCTTAAATGAGCCTTCCTCTTTGGTATGAATAGCAGAAATGGAAAATTCCTTTTTTAATAGATAATTCCCTGTCATTTTAGAAATGCTTATACTAGCAAAATTTGTTTCTGCAATAATCAAAAATAATATTTATATATATATACATAAAATCTTTAGAACTTAAGTAACAATATTAAATATTCTTATATCTTTATTACTTACTAATGTTCTCATTAAGAATTAGCTCACTGTAGCACATTTTCTCTACCAATGCATTTACTCTCTCGGTAACTTTTATGTTATCCGTAGAGCCATTACTACTTCTTGATTTGAGTATATCTTGTATAAGTTGCAAGTTCATTTCAACATAAGCCAAATCCACAGAGATTGTTTTTACTTTATTATTTGTGTATCGGTCACCGGAGTAACTCCTATATCTATCCAACATTTCTAAATTTTTTCCCTGCGCATCGGTTTGACTTGCTATATCATTATTTGCACTCACTGTAGTTATTTGATCTAGAACTTCCAGAAGTTTTTCTAAAGTCGATGGATCATTTAAATCAAGTAATTCCAAATTATTTTTGGCTCTTGAGACAAATTGTATAATTTCATTATGGGAGATATAAAATTGTGTAGTTGGGTGTTCCACCAATTTATTTATTTCTTTATGCATAATATCTTTTATATAGTCTCGCCATTCATTATATCTTTTCTGATCAGCATTCTTTTTGAATAAAACACTGATGAAATAAATTCAATCAACTTTTAAGAGGTTAACTTACCTTATATGTAAGTGCTGCCATAAATATGAGATTATGTGCAGTCTCGTAATCTGTTCTTATAAATGCCGATTTCACAATTTCTTTTTGAATGTTGAATTCCGTATCAGTTATTGTAGTATAGTCAATAGATAATGGGTCTCCATAAATTATATTACAAGCTCCTCTAATATCACATATTTTAACAAATAATTTAATCGGACTATCTAGAAAAAAATAATATACATTAATTAACATAACAAATACATATATATATATATATATGCTACAATAGATCTATTGTGTGTAATAGGATTGTTCAATAAATTACATTGAGTCATCACATATCACTTAAGTGTTGCCGTTGTTTATCAAAAACTGAATACTTACAAAAAATATACTCTAGACACTCTATATTTATTTTACAAAAACGATGGACATCAATATCTGAGACCCCAAATTATATAAGTGATACCTCAGGTTGCAATGATTTGTAAAGTAATCAACCCAGAGAGTCCTTAAGTCTACCGTGTTAAGCGAAAGTATCTAACTTGATACTTTGATACTCCCACCGATAGTACAAAAATATTTTTCTTGAGATTGATTTACACTATTAAGCCAGTTGTCTAATAATTTTGTCTCCTTCCATTTCGTAGTAGCAGTATTTAAGTGGTGAGTCTACAAAACGGCTCTGAACCAATTAAGGACATATTTTTATCTCTCTTAGGATCCATTCTATCAATATAGTAGTGTCAACCCTGATCAAATACTCTAATGACAACCCTGTAAAGAAAACATTATCACTTTTGACAGGAGCATAGTGTGTGTGATTTGACAACGAGAGAAGACAACACGTGAAGTTCTGATACGTGACGAAATATTTATTTTTTTTTAATAAAATTGTAAAATTGTAATTATTAAATAAAGTCCAGTGAAATCTTCAGAAGTGGAATTAGAAATCCGCGTGCACTGCGAAAAGTGTAAAAATAAAAGTTGCATACGTTTGAAAAACAAAAAAAATACATTACGCAAAATTGAGACTCTTCGGGGTAATTGTTTTGTGCTGTCGTTCGTAGTAAGCGTCAATTTACATATCTTTTTGAAAGTGTTCGTGACGTGTCGTAGAACTAAATATAGTGTCATCTCACTCGCACTTGCGGCATACGAAATCGAAAACGTTTTAGTGGATACATACTTTTTGTTTTTCGCTTTGAAAATCAGATGCACGTGTATGAAATTAGCGATCGTTTCATATAAAGCAATCTTTTTCATATTTGATTTCAAAAACCGCATACGTATTGACGTAGTAAAAAAATAAAAAACGTTATAATAGTTAAAACATCAAGGAACTACAACAAAATGAATTTTTATAAATTCACGTTAAATGAGTTACGACAAAAATGTAAAGATGCTGGTGTAAGCACAAAGGGAAAAAAGAAAGATTTAATCAAACAGCTGGAAGAAATAGAAAACGATGATGAGTACGAGACAGTGAATGATACTTTAACACAAAGAATTAATGTGTTAGAAAAATCCCTTGCACAAATGCAAAAGCTACAAGAGGTTAAAAACCAAAATGTAATTACAACAAGTCAAATGTTTCAACCGCCGGTAATGTCGTCACCAATAGGTAATTACATGACCACGTCAAACGTAAAGCCAGTCTGCTCAACTGTTTTAAATTCACCAATAATGTGTCCTGAAATGCAGACAAGCGTAAACAATAATATGTTGAGTAATAACTGTGCCGTTATGAGTGTTCCATATACATCTATATCGCAACAATATCCAACGATTTCTTATGTCCACGCTAATCCTCTTGGACCAACAACACCACAGTTATTTCAGTCATCAGCTCCGATACAACAACCGCCCTTGCCAAATGCGGCTAACAATTGTCCAGTTTTTGGCAGAAATGAAAACTTTTTACAAGCATCAACAACGCGCTCGATCTCACAACCTGCGACAAATTGTGCTTACAATATGGCAACAGTGAATCATATGGATTCACTACACCGAAGACATGATATTGCGTCTCAAAATATTCCGACTGTTTCTCCATTACAATGCCAAAATCAATTTGGAAATGTGCGTGATGTAATCACCCTTCTGCCGAATTTCGACCCATCATCGGACAAGTCGAGCTCCTCAAAACAATTTATCAAGCGGATAGAAAGCTTACGGGACGCATATAATTGGAACGATCAAGTTTTACTGTTTGCAGTCCAGCAAAAATTGCATGGTCATGCAAAATTCTGGGTGGATGCACAAGAAATATTCTTAACATGGCCACAGTTTGTTGCGAAGTTTACTGCTGATTTTCCTTCTAGTGAAAATATTGCTGATGTTCATCTTGAAATGGCGCATACCAAACGACAAGGTAACGTGACTCCGCAGGAATATTTTTATAAAATGGTATCTATAGGCACTAGAGGTGGAATACCCGAATCAGCAATAGCACGATATATAATATTGGGAATAAATGACCCGGACTTGAGAAAAAAAATTTCAAATGATTATGTGTCATACAACGATCTGCTTAGAGATATAAATAATTATACCGTATACAACGAAGTTAAAAATTTTCCGACCCAAGCGAAAAATCAATTTTCATCATATACCGCTCGCAACGTTGAGACCAAAAACGTAACATACGGAAAAAATTTCAAAACGAACAATGAGAAGAATGTTAAATGTTTTAACTGCTCAAAGGTTGGCCATTACTCGTCTAAATGTCCAGAACCAAAACGAAAAGAACGCTGTGCCAATTGCAATCGCACCACACATAAAACTGACAACTGTCCCGATAAAAAAATATTTAAATCTAATCCGACAATTAATAAAATTAGTGAACAATCTTCTAATAAAAATAAAGATAATGTAATAAAACAAATTAAAGTAAATAATTTCGATGCAAAATCATTTATAGACTTAGGTAGTGTTCACACACTCGTACGCGAATCTTTTGCTAAAAACTTTGAAAACCACACGAACTGCTCTGTATCTCTTACAGGCTTTGCAGGTGGTAAATATGAATGTATTTCTAAAATACATGCGATCGTTGAAGTGGACCTAAATAAATTCAGTGTGGATATGCTGATTGTTGAAGATGATCTTATTCCGGAAGACATACTTCTGGGTCGAGACATATTGTGCCATGAAGGAAACCGTGTTATTATAGAAGGCACTCGATGTCAAATAGAAAATTCACAAGTTACTGCTGACATGAACAAATTTCAAACCGAAAAATTAAAAAGTCTTTTATCAGAATATAGTTCCGTATTCGCCGAATCTTTGGCTGAAATAGGTAAGTGTGTGACTAACAAAATGAAAATACAACTCACTACTGATACCCCCGTTTGTATGAAACCATATCGATTACCGTTTGTAAAACGTGAAATTGTATCCAATATTATCGCAGAATTACAAGAGAACGATATTATACGACCATCCGATTCGCCATTCGCATCTCCAATCGTGCTAGTTGAGAAAAAAAATGGAGAACATCGACTTTGTGTCGACTATAGATGTTTAAACAAAATCACGAAGAAAAACCCGTATCCAATGCCAAATATGGAAGAACAATTTGCTCAGCTGGCCGGAAATAACTACTTCACGACGTTAGATCTACGAATGGGATACCACCAGATAGAAATTGAAGAATCTTCTAAGCAATACACCGCTTTTGTAACTACTGATGCACATTACGAATATAATCGAATGCCATTTGGGTTAGTAAATGCCCCGGCTGTATTTCAAACTACTATGAACCAAATTGCTTCACAAATGACTAAAGGAGAAATTCTTGTATACCTTGACGATGTCATTATACCAAGTCAATCAATTGATGAAGGGTTAAACCGACTACAAAAAATTCTACATTTGTTAAAAGAAAACAACCTTACCTTACGTTTTTCTAAGTGTAAATTCCTATCTACAGAGCTAGTGTACTTAGGTCACGTTATAAACAAAAACGGAATAACGCCAGGCCTTCTAAAAGTAACAGCGATCAAAAACTTTAAAATACCTACAAATATAACCGAAGTCCGTCGATTTTTAGGATTGACGGGATTTTTTAGAAAATTCGTTCGAGATTATTCATTAATCACAAAACCAATTACGAAGCTTCTTCGCTCGTCAGAACATACTTTTACTTGGGGAGCGGAGCAGCAGCTAGCTTTTCAAAAATTAATCCAAATACTTAGTAGCGGTCCGGTACTTGTTTTATATGATAGCGTAGCCGAGCACGAAGTACATACTGACGCCAGTAGTGTAGGTCTCGCAGGCGTTCTTATGCAGTCTACAGACGGTAAACGTTGGAAGCCGGTATTCTATTATAGCCGTCACTGTACTGAAGCCGAAAGTAAGTACCATAGCTATGAGCTCGAGACTCTTGCTATTGTCGAAACACTAGATCGTTTTAGAATCTATCTGCTTGGAAAACATTTTCGTGTCGTGACAGATTGTTCTGCAATTGCTACAGTGAAAGCGAATAAAGAACTAAAACCGAAAATTGCACGCTGGTGGATGAAGCTACTTGAGTATGACTTTGAAACAATCCATCGCCAAGGAAATCGTCTCGCTCATGTCGACGCGTTAAGTCGATCACCAGACGAGCCACCTAATGAGGTCGAACCGGCTGGGTTTGTAATGAAAGTAACAGCAAGTAAAGACGACTGGCTGTTCACGATGCAGCTTCAAGACAAGTCGCTCGTAGAAATTATCGACATTTTAAAGGGTGATAAATCATCCATCCAGGCAACGCAATTGAAAAACGATTACCAACTTCAGAATTACCGACTTTATCGCCGTACCGACCATGGTCTGAAATTCGTCGTACCTAAAGCAGTACGATGGAGAGTAGTGCATGCATGCCATGATGATATGGGACATTTTGCAACCGATAAGACGATAGAACGCATCAAGCAAAATTTCTGGTTTCCCAAAATGCGCAAGTATGTTAGAGAATATATTTCCGCATGCGTAGAGTGCTGTTACGTGGGGGAAAACCTGAAGGGCAAATGCACTACGATAAAAAAAAAAAAAAAAATTTCGACTAATCCACATCGATCATCTTGGGCCGTTCATCAAAAGTAAGAGAGGAAACTGCTATGTCTTAGCAGTCTCTGACGCCTTTTCAAAATTTCTAATCGTTAAAGCTGTACGTAACACTAAGACAGCTCCTGTTATAAACGCTCTCAACGATATCTCCAGTTATTTCGGGTTGCCTACGATAATCGTCAGCGATCGTGGAACCACATTTACTTCGACTCAATTTCACGCATACTGTGAAAAGAACAATATACAACATATAAAAACTGCTGTACGTACACCTCGCTCC